GCCTCAGCAGGACAGAAAGGCTTAGTATGCTCCCTTGACCAGCTGGACGCATGGACAAAGAGTGTCCTGTGCTCCTTTTACTGTCCAGTGTGTCATTTTTCCTTTTCCTATAGGGATGACGGGTGCCTTCCCAGCACAGCAAACCAGTTACAGGAGTGGCGAGTCATTTCCAACTTGAAACTTATCAATCCCTGTCCCTCCCACTCTCATTTCTGCTGGATAAGTAATTACTTTCCAACCCAAAGCCCATTTTGCAGGGAAAATCCAGGTGCAGAGAAGCCAGCGTCTTGAGTGCACAAGCAATGGGGCTCCAGCATCAGTGGGGTCTCTGAGTGGGGCAGTGGCTAAGTTCCCATGGGTGCATGTTAGGGCAGCTTCCACTCCCTCTTCCCTTGCCAGGTCCCCAGAGGTATCGTGCACCTATTTTTTGAGCACCTGCTGTATGCCTGCAATTCTCTTCTCCACCCTGTCCTGCTGTGCACACTTACTCATCTTTCAAGACTCAACCTCACCTTCTCCATGAAGCGTTTTCTGACTCACCAGGCAGGAGGCCTCCCATGACTGGCAGAAGCAACACACATTCTCTTTGGAAGAACTCAACTCCAATCCAGGCCGACAAAAATTGGAGTAAAGCCTTTTTGTGAGTTTGTTTTAGAGACAAGGTCTCACTATATTGCCCAGGCTGGTCTCAAACTCCTGAGCTCAAGTGATCCTCCCACCTCGGCCTCCCACATAGCTGGGACTGCAGGTGTGTGCCACTGTGCCCAGCTCCAAAGCTATTGATTTATAACATGAATCCTGACTTTAGATATAGTAAAAGTTTTTTGTTTTCCTCCCCCACCCAAAAAAGTCTTACATCAGATAAGGGATATAGCTGTCCTTAGGTCCTAGGGATAATGGAGAGGAGAGTCTCCTGGCCCTTGCCCTGCTCCAGACCAGTAGGGAGTATACTCAGGAAGGCTCTTGGAGATCAGGAAGTAAGACATTTGTGTGACTTTCTGGTTGACTCTATCCCCCCAACAGCTTCAATTTTGTCTTTCAGGCATTTTCTGAGGTGGGGAGGAGGTGTGTGTGCAGGGGTGCCCGTCAGCCAGGGAGCTGGCACCTCTTCCATACGATGTGCGCCATCACTAGCACTGCACACATCACCCTGTATGAGGAGTCTCTCTCCCCTGAGTGAGGGCTAAAAGCTGAAAGCTTAATTGTCCATCAGTGGGGCCTGGCTAAGTAAAAAGCAGCATATTTATATGATGACATATGTAGAGAAGTTGAAAGGAATGCACTTCCTTTATCAGCATGGATAGAGCTAAAAAAATTGGTGTAGAAACTAAGTTGCTGAGTAAACAGTACAGAATGATTGCATTTTTTTTTTTGAGATGGAGTCTCACTCTGTTGCCAGGCTGGAGTGCAGTGGCATGATCTTGGCTCACTGCAACCTCTGCTTCCTCGTTCAAGTGATTCTCCTGCCTCAGCCTCCTGAGTAGCTGAGACTACAGGCGCCTGCCACCACGCCTGGCTAATTTTTGTATTTTTAGTAGAGATGGGGTTTCACCATGTTGGCCAGGATGGTCTCGATCTCTTGACCTTGTGATCTGCCCGGCTCGGCCTCCCAAATTGCTGGGATTACAAGCATGAGCCACAGCGCCCGGCCCCATGATTGCATTTTTTTAAAGTACATTGGAAACTCACTTTTTTTTTCTAGTGGGTACATTTGTATGTATGCAAAAATATTTTTTATAAATCTGAAAGGACAGTGCAGAGTGAGACCATTTGTCTGTTTGATCAGGGATCAGCACATGGCCCACAGCAGCATAGTAGGTGCTTCTAAGATATTTGCCACATGGATGACAGCACTGGGCAGCTGCTGAGGACTTATAGAGTGATGGACCCAGAGTCTCATGAAGGGCCTCGAGGGGATTCCTCCTATACCAGCTCCCTCCTCATCCCACCTGCCCCAACCTTCCGCTAAGCCCAGAACCCACGGCTCCATTCTGGCTGTGGCATCCCTGGGTCTGTCCACTCCCTCCTTAGCTTTGGATTCAGCCCTAGCCCTGTTCCTCTATTTTCCTGAGGGCTGGCCCCACTGTGTGTATGTGTGTGTGTTGGGGGAGCTGACTGTTACTTCGAAATTGGGATTGGAACAAAGCAAGCTGATTCTGGCCCAGGCCATTAACTAAACTATCCTACTGTGGTCTCAGATCCAGTGCCTCCAAATGAGAGGGAGCACTGGGTGGGTACTCGTGAGCCTGATGGCTAATGTACTGGGAAAGGACATGAACAAATGTTCTAGAAAGATGCCTTGCCTGGTGGGGAGGCCTGCCAGCTTTCCAAGCCCATAAGTGCTTGTCCTAGTCGGCTTGGGCTGCTGTAACAGATGACCATAGACTGATGTGGCTTAAATCAGTTATTTCTCACAGCTCTGAAGAGGCTGGGAAACTCAAGATCAAGGTGCCAGTTTTTGGTGAGGGCCTTCTTCCTGGCTTGCTAATATCCATTTTCTCTGTGTCCTCACACAGCTGGGAGGGAGAGCTCTGGTCCCTCTTCCTCTTCTTATAAGGACACTAATCCCATTATGGGGTCCCACCTCATGACTTCATCTAAACCAAATCACCTCCCTAAATCCCCTCCTCCAAATACCGTCACATTGGAGGTTAGGGCTTGAATATATGAATCTCGGGAGGACCCATACATTTGTAGGGGAAATGTTTCAAAAGCAGGGTGTTTGGCATGCTTTAACTCAGACTTCAGGGTAAATGGTGAACATCAGAGGTTCTGGATGAAGCTTTTGACACAGGCAGAAGAGGTAGAGAATGCAGGGAACTGCTAGGAAGGAGGAGGCCTACTCTTCATCATTATGGCTGGCTCCAAAGCGCAGGCTTCATTCAGGCAGGCACACATTCATTTAACGTCTTTTAAAGGGGCAGGCCCTGGCTAGCACTGGGCAAGTGCTAGGGACCCCGAGTTGAAACAGAGGGCTTGCCCTCCTGGAGCTTACTGCTGTGCATGAGCCAGGTCTCAATGGAAAACTGCAAACTTTTACCTGGCCTCCAGGTTTTGCATGTGCTGTTTTGTCTGGGACCCCCTGCATTCCCTTTGTCCTGTCCCCACAGCTGCTCCTACCCATCTGGCAGGTATGGGTAGGTGGGGCTGTTCTGGGGAAGTTTGCTCAAGTCTGGATTCTGAGACACTAGGGATCCCAGAACATGGCACCTCTTGCCTCTCAAGGCTTGCCATTGCAAGGCTGCCCCTCTTGTTCGCTTGTCTGTCTTCCCCATGACACCTGAGCTTCCTGAGAACAAAACTGTGAACCACCATATCCTAGGTACCTACTGTGGCCTGCTTCCTGCAGGGAGAGGGTGCAGTCAACTTCCTGCAGGGAGTGAGTGGATGAATGAATTATACACTATTACGAATGGCTGGTCCCTAAGCATGATGGGTATCTGAACAGATGTGTAAGTATGGTGATTGGAAACAAGTGCTAAAGGTTTGAGAAATAATAGAAAAAGCCACTGCAATGACGAACACACCCATCCACCTGCTCGAGACTAACAACTAACTATTTCTTGATCCACAGCTGCCAGAGGAACACGCCTCTGTCTTACTGGGTTTCTGAGATTTGCAACCTCCGAAGCTGGGCTCTAGCTAGAGGGGTGTAAAGGTCAAAAGTGTTAGATCATTCAGTCACTTTGTATAAGTAACATAACATTTCTTTCTTTCTCTTTCTCTCTCTTCTTGTCTTTTTCTTTAGTTTTGGAGAAGGTCTCATTCTGTTGCCCAGGCTAGAGTGCAGTGGCACAATCAGGGCTCACTGAAGCCTCAATCTTCTGGGCTCACGTGATCCTCCCACCTCAGCTCCCCTGTCCCCCAACCCCAGTAGGTGGGCCTACAGGCACAGGCCACCACACCCAGCTAATATTTTCATATTTTTACTACAGACAGTTTTGCCATGTTGCCCAGGCTGGTCTTGAACTCCTGGACTCAAGGAATCCACCAGCCTCAGCCTCCCAAAATGCTGGGAATACAGGCGTGAGCCACCACGATCAGCTGATAACATTTTTGTGCCTCAGTTTCCTCACTTGTGAAACAGGAATAAGAGTAGTTTATTAGGGTTGCCCTAAGGACTAAATGAGACGGGTCTTGTAAAGTCTGAGGGATGGTGAATGCATAAATGCTTAATAAATGCTGGCTCTTACTAGGAGGCCTCTCACCTCCAGTGGCCCTGCTCTGTCATTCTCTAAACCTCAGTTGGTCCATCTGTAAGATGGGCATGCGAATGGTAATGATTAAATGAGAAAGTAAAACTGTGCTAGGATCTGTTATTTGTGTCCAAGAGAGCCTGTGGGACTATGCTTCACATCCAGGCTCACCAGGCTGGGGATTCCAGGTCCCGGCCATCCAAAGCGAATCTGCTCAGTGCGCTGGTGGAGAGGACCACCTCCAGCCTGGGGGCTTCAGGCCACAACGCCCAACCCAAGCCCCAGAACCCTTTTTCTCACGGGAGCAGGCTGCTGTGGGTTCGTCTGGCTGATCAGGGAGGCCTGATTATTCTCCCGGGAGATGACCTGGGAAGGCCATGGTGGGTCCCCACAGTAGGGGGCGGCGCACGGACTGCAATCTGGTTATTCCAGGAAAAAGAAAAAATGTTGCAGAGGCGGCGGCCATAGGGTTGGGAGCCGGTTATCTCTGGGCCACCTTCCAGCTCTGATAACTGCAGGCCGGGCTCACCGGGTAGGGCTGGCGCCCCGAAGTGGGCCGGGGCGCCGCGGTCTGTAGCCTCTGCTTTGCCCGGCCCCTCCCGCCACGGTCGGGCGCCGGGTCTCCAGGCCGCGCCCAGCCCCATGAGGAAGCAGCGCGGTGCCTGCCAGCCCGAGCTCACCGCGTGCCCTCAGCCGGACAAGGTGGGCAAGGGCCAGGGGGGTCGCTGCTAGACCCCGGGACCCGCACGCACTCCCCTACCCATCCCCGCTCCCCCAGCACCCGGGGCATCCCCCGGAGCTTACTCTGCAGACAGCGGGCTGCGGCCAGGCAGAGGGCGAAGAGTCCTAGGGAGATGCCTTGGGTCTTCCTCCTCCCGCTCGGCAGAGGCCTCATGGGCGAGCCCGGGGCGGCGCGGGCCGGGGTGTGTGCTCGCTGCACCGCGCTGCAGCTCCTATGCAGCCTTCTCTCTTCCTCTGCCTCTGGCTCCCGCAGGTTCTTTAGGGCCAGATGCAGATGAGCTGGTTGTACTCTGGTTGAACCAGTTCCCAAGGATAGAGAAGGGGAGGGGGAGCTGCGGGGGGAAAGAATTAATATGGGAAGGAATGGGAATGCACAGACTCAGAGGTAAATAATGGCAAATAATGAGCAGCCTCCTTCCGTTCACACCCATTTTACTGGTATTGATTCAAGGTTCGGCTGGATGCTAGGTGGCAGGAAGGGAAAGTACTAGCTATTGCTTCAGGACAGCTAGTCATTGGCATCATGGGCAAAGGGAAGGCTTTTAGGAAAGTGAAATGACAGCCTGGAGTGAGAGGGATGAGGGGAGGGGGCAGGGAGACTCAGGCTACCCTGATGGGAACCACTGCACAATGATGATATCCATCTATCCACCCATCTGTCCATCCACCCATCCATCCATCCATCCAGGAAATGTTCACCAATCGCCTGCTTATTTGCACAGGGCCTTGCGCGTGGCAGTCACTCAAAGAAACTGGTGGAACGAAGCTAGGCACTGCTAAGTGCTGGGGATACAAGGATGTGGGCACCTCTTTAGAAATCCTAGCAAGAGCCGGGCGCGGTGGCTCACGCCTGTAATCCCAGCACTTTGGGAGGCCGAGGTGGGCAGATCACAAGGTCAGGAGATCGAGCTTACGGTGAAACCCCGTCTCTATTAAAAAAATACAAAAAAATACAAAAAAAAAAAAAATTAGCCGGGCGCGGTGGCGGGCGCCTGTAGTCCCAGCTACTCAGGAGGCTGAGGCAGGAGAATGGTGTGAACCCGGGAGGCAGAGCTTGCAGTGAGCCGAGATCGGGCCACTGCACTCCAGCCTGGGGGACAGAGCGAGACCCCATCTCAAAAAAAAAAAAAAAAAAAAGGAATCCTAGCAAGGGATGGGGGCTGCAAAAAATGAGCAACTGCTGTACAATTCATACGCTGTTAGGATCAGAGAGGCCCAGCGTGCTCTGGGGGCTCAGAGCAAGTGTAATTAGCCCCCAGGAGAGGTCGATGGAGGGGTGGGACAATCAGTTTTGGTCCAAACTAGTCACGAAATTCTATTTCACTTTGTCAAAACTAGAATTTCTAGCTTCACTTGCCACAAGGGGTAGCAGTGTGACCCGGTGCTGGCCAGTGATATTTAAGGGGAAGTCTTTTTGAGGTGTTTCTGGAAAAGTTTTTGCTTTCTTCATAAAAAGGACAGCTAAGGCTGGGACTACCCCTCCCCCTTCCTTTCTGCCTTGAAAACATTTATTCTGTCCAGATCTGTGGCATATGTCTTGCATCTATTAAGTTACATAAATGAATGAAAAAACCATCATGCTAAGTAAGGATGGTGGAGCAGGAAGATAGAAAGACCTAGAAGGGCCGGGCGTGATGGTTTACACCTGTGATCCCAGCACTTTGGGAGGCCGAGGCAGGTGGATTGCATGAGCCCAGGAGTTTGAGGCCAGCCTGGACAAATATACTGAGACCCCATCTCTACAAAAAATACAAAAATTAGCCTGGGCATGGTGGCCCATGTCTGTAGTACTAGCTACTTGGGAGGCTGAGGCAGGAAGATCACTTGAGTCCAGGAGGCAGAGGTTGTAGTGAGCCGTGATTGTGCCACTGCACTCCAGACTAGGTGACAGAATGAGACTCTGTTTTAAAAAAAGAAAGAAAAAAAGGAAGACATAGAAGATTATTGTAATCCACTGTACTTTCCAATCTTCTTCTGGTTTCTAAAGGAGATTTCTTACCGATTCCAATGTATTCCTGGTGAGGCTGGTAATAGTGGTACCCTGCTGACTGGCTTGGGGTGGGTTTGTCAATCATGCTGTCCATTTGAAGTACCCTGTCTGCCAACCAAAGTATTTGGTTCAAGGATGGGCAGACAGGGCCATCAGAGTCTTCTCTGGAAATGTATGACCACTGCTGGGATGCTAAAAATGGGATATGAACCTGGGGGTACTGGTGGACCATCTTGTCTGTCATGTGGAGAGGTCCTGGGTTAAGAATGAAACCAAGATGAGACAAACTGAGCTGGGAACTAAGGAAAGAGATAAAGGCCTAACTACATGGGTTGAGTTCTGGGATTCTGCACGGTTGGGTTTGCCATTTATCAGCAAACAAATGCCCTCTTTTGCCTCAGCAAATTTAAGTTGCATTTTTATGATATAAAATTGAGAATGTCCTGCTAAAACAACTGGTCTTCTTGACATTTTTCTGTTTTCTTTATTAGACATAAAGGGCTTCAGGAATCACTTGCATTCATTTGTTTATCCATCAAACATTTATCAAATCTGCCCCCATATCAGGCAATGTGCTAGGCACTGCAGCTCCAAAGATGAATAATAACTCGTAACTCCTAGTCTCAAAATACTCACAAACTAGTGGAGACAAAATGACTCAAGTTGAGAAAGCCTTCCAGACACAGAGGTTTCTCCTGCTAAGGCTAAGTTGAGAGGAAACTGGCTGTTCTGCTTACTGCTATGAACCCTCAAAATCTGAGATAGGTCTCAATTTAGAAAGTTTATTTTGCCGAGGTTGAGGATGCATGTCTGTGATATAGCCTCAGTAGGTCCTGAACACACGTGCTCAAGGTAGTCAGAGCACAGCTTGGTTTTAAACATTTTAGGGAGACATGAGACATCAATCAACATATACAAGATGAACATTGGTTCTGTCTGGAGAGGCAGGTCAACTTGAAGCAAGGTGGGAAGACTCAATGCAGGAAGGGGTGTTCCAGATCACAGATGGCTAAGAGACAAATGGTGGCTTTTTCTTGAGTTTCTGATTAGCCTCTCCAAAGGAGATAATCAGATATGCATTTATCTCAGTGAGCAGAGAGATGAATTTGAATATAACGGTAGGCAGGTTTGCCCTAAGCAGTTCCCAGTCTGACTTTTTCCTTTAATTTAGTGATTTGGGGAACCCAAGAATTTTTTTCCTTTCACATTTCCCCCCTTTTCTTTTTAAAATTTTTTTTGAGGCCGGGCACAGTGGCTCAAGCCTGTAATCCGAGCACTTTGGGAGGCCGAGACGGGCAGATCACGAGGTCAGGAGATGGAGACCATCCTGGCTAACACGGTGAAACCCCCTCTCTACTAAAAAGTACAAAAAACTAGCCGGGCGAGGTGGCGGGCGCCTGTAGTCCCAACTACTCGGGAGGCTGAGGCAGGAGAATGGTGTAAACCCGGGAGGCAGAGCTTGCAGTGAGCTGAGATGCGGCCACTGCACTCCAGCCTGGGTGACAGGGTAAGAGTCTGTCTCAAAAAAAAAAAAAATTTGTTTTGAGAAGGCACTTTAGAAGAAAATGAGTCTCTGGGCTCTGGTTTCATTGGATCTCTCATGGCTTAGAATGGTTTATTCCTAGACAGGTAGGTGCTGAGTTATTAGGAAAGCTCATTATTAGCAGGTTGTGAAGTCTCATGTCCTATGACAATAGGGGGAGGAAGGGAGAAAAACAGTAAACTAAATAATAATCCTGAAAAATTGATATAGGCCACATTATACTGTGTAGACAAGGATGAGGACAATTTTCCCAAGGGCTTTCATTGGCTCCATAAGTCAAGTTTGATTCCTTAAAGGAAAGTACACCATTCCAGTCAAAGCCTTGGTAAAATAACCAGTTTCTCCAGTTTTGTCCTGTTACAAAATGAAAACAGATTCTTGTTGCACTTATGCAAATAAGTGTATTGTCATGAGTTAATAATGCTCACAAATAGTTTCCAAATTCTGTAGAAATCAAGTAGAGAGAAAACAAATATACTCCACCTTTTGTTCATAGGAGTATATTTTACTCAATTGTTAAACGTTGTAAATAACTTAAAAGTTTTCTTGACTCTGAAAAACAAAACAAAGGATCAGCAAGGTTTTAGTTAGAAAGATTACTTTAGACTTCTATTAGCTTAGTCCATGTAGATAATTTTTGTTATGTTTGGTATTCATGAACATTTCAGCTCTCCATGAGTTCTGAAAGTTTTCCTCTATTCGGATGTCACAGTCTTCAAAGTTATCCGAAACCTGTATTCAAGAGCACCTGTTAATGTATAGCCAATAATAAAAACACCTTCTAAGAGGACCAACGGAAGACAACAATTATCTGTGCATGACAAAATGTTTTAGGGCAGCCATAGTCAAAGACACAATTGACAAGTAAATTTGTTACCTCTGTGGCACACAATAATTTAACATAACAATTATAATTATTACTGATAATGTACACTAAGTCATATCAGAATTATAGGAGTTTTCCGTAATTTTGTAATACACACCAATAATATATTTAAACAAATACAACCCAGAGAAAACCAAACACCATGACATATTTGACAATGCTTCCTGTAGCATTTATATGCCAAATAAATAAGCCAAATATGTCATTTTTTGGACTTTAGGGAACCTATTAGTAATATCTTAAAGAATTAATTAGGTCAGAAAAAGTTTATAATTTGATTTTGGAAAGTTAGTCAAATATCGAAGGTTTAAAACACTTGATAACACAAAATAGGATTACAGGTCTTGTAAAATAAGTCATTCATTGAACCAAAGTGATAACTCAAGGATTTGTTTAAAAAGGCAAAAACCTTCCTTCTTTGAGAGATAAGACTTAATTTTCCAAATGATAAGCCCTAATGAAAACAGCATGAGGCCAATTAACTTTTTCAAAATTTTATAAACAATTATAAAATTTTAGCCTTGATCATAAGATGTAGCTTCCATAAGCCTTTTATAACCTTTGTTAAGGAGTTGGTTAATGCTTCAAGAAAATCTTGTTTATCTGATACAGGGGCCCATATGCTAGTCTTGCATCAGTGTATCTTTGACATTAATGGTTAATTTATGGAGAAACTGAATTGATTTTATCTCTTAAAATTGGTCCTTATAATTTCACACTCTCACCTCTTCTGCAATAGACCCTGGGCCTTGATGAGTTGAATGGCTTTAATTTCTGGTCCTGTGTGTCTCAGGAATGCAGTTTATTTTGATTGGGATCTTTAGTGTTTTTTTTAGATGGAATCCCCCTTTTTTGCCCAGGCTGGAGTGCAGTGGTGAATCTTGGCTCACTGTAACCTCTGCCTCCCAGGTTCAAGCAATTCTCCTGCCTCAGCCTCCTAAGTAGCTGAGATTACAGGTGCCTGCCACCACACCCAGCTAATTTTTGTATTTTTAGTAGAGACAGTGTTTCACCATGTTGGCCAGACTGGTCTTGAACTCCTGACCTCAGGTGATCAGCCTTCCTCAGCCTCCCAGAGTGCTGGGATTATGGGCATGAACCACCATGCCAGCCTTAATTGACATCTTCTATGGGGCCTGAAAATGAGGCTTTAATTGCGGTCAGTGTTTAACATTTAGAAGGACTTTGTGTCCTTTTTAGACCCAGAAGTCAAAGTCCTGTAACTTAATGTCACAAGTACCTTAAAAGCACATACAGAAAGGTACACAGATGTAATAACCTTAATTAAAATTTTTTTTAAATCTCAGTTTTTCCCTAAGCAAACCAAAACTCAATAATAATGGCATAGGAATTATTTTGATTAAAAAACATAAAGTCTGTTAGGCCAGTTACCAAAAGGCAAAAGGAAAGA